GTTTATTTCCGTTTTATCAGTGCTTAATTTATCCTTCATATAGCATATCTTAAGAAAAACATTTTTACCTGAGCGTTGCACTCGCGTAGACCATTTTTATCTGTCCTGTCCACTTGGTTCCTGGAGCACACTTCCCGTTCGGAAATCTCCCTCATTCTTCTACATGACCCTTTCAACACGTGACCAAAAGTGTTGAGTGTTATTTTCTGAATTTAAAATTTATCGAAAGTTCGGCCGAAAGGATACAGTGATTTAGTGATGGCTACCCCTTTTCTATTATTTCCCCACGTGATAGGCGTATTCAAGTGTTCCGTGTTCCAGTGCTACTGGGGAAATACCCGGATTTGAACACCTGCATAACAAAGACGAATAAGCGGCGCCTGTAGAATTTCGGGCCCTTGCGTCAGCCCCCGTCGTGATGGCATGGATTATTAGAACGCACTACGTTAAATCGCCGAACATCTTCATATCGAAATAACAATTAGAGGTACAGAAAGTTGATAAAAAATATGAAAACATTCTTGCTATTATTAAAATATATTACCCACTCTTATGTAAGATCACCTTCACCTATTAGAATGAAATATTAACTACAATTTTTACTGAGATTAATACCCGTAGACGTTTGTAGTGGCCGGAAACAACCAATAGGCCAATCAACGGTGGTCGTCACCGTGAAAGACTAGCAGAACGAACAAGGATCAGTAAATGAAAATAAACGCTGTCTACACAGCTTAGTGACGGGAATTGCGGCCATTAAACCTCCCACCTCACCATTTCACGTCTTATGACAAGTACCTCCGATTAAACCAATTGCTTTTGCCCATAGAGGAGTATAGCTGCTGAGCGGCTCCATGTGAATGTGCCTTCTTGTTGGCAAGCTTGTTGAAAAACAAAGCTTCACCGCGCGAGGTCGCGATGGCACTCGCTGAAGCCAATTTTGTAAGTTTCGCTGTGAAACACAACCCTTTCTTCCGTTGTAAGCGAAGCGAGTTATTGTGTCAGTGACCGTATCCTAGAAAAATGGGGTATTATGATTGGAGACCCTGCAATACAAGCAGAAATGCTTTGCGAGGTCGTAAGACACCAAGCATTCTCAGATCCATGTGAAACTGGATTTATTGACGTGTGCAGGTTATACTAAGATTTATTAGTCATAATAAACTTCGAAGTGATTATGAAATTAAATATCTAATTTGAACTGAAAGACAGAAAGCCATTCAAAATACTTTGTCTTATATTGTTATTGAGAAATAATTTAATATTGTCAAAGAAAAAATGATCCGACAAGAAAAGAAGATGGACTCGTAACTGACTCTCTGACGATTAAGGCGTTGTATCTGCCCTAGATACTAATTCTAGTAACACCCACTCCATTCCGCCGAGGAAAAAAAAATACAAATAAACGAAATAGACGTCACCTTCTGGTTTAAAAAAAAATATTCTTTTTTCCTTTTCCTCAGCGTTTCACAGCTCCCTCAGCATTCTTGATTTTGCAAGTAATTGGTGATGGCCCGTCCGCTTTTTTTCTTCCATACCACACTTAAGAGTGGTGTGTGACATTTGAGGTTCAGGGACACTAGACAAATTGTACTAAAGCCAGTGATTATTAAGATTTGTGTCCGATCTCTTAATAAACAGAATATGTTCAAGTAACCAAGCAAACTGCATTTACTACATGCAATATGAAGTCCCCTAAACATATGTAACAAAGAACAGTCTTGTTAAGACCTCTCAATAGTTATTTATACATGTATTTCATGCATTTCAGATTCCTGATTTTTCACATATGAGTTTTTCAGTGTATGTAGACCTCTGATATCGTAAATAAACTACCAGAATCAACAACCATATTTTATGTGAAGTTACTGCCTATAGAATTATCCTCCGATGCAATTTGTTTTTTATTTAGATTTATTTAGTCAAAAACAAGTAAAATTGTTATGTGACGTTTGAGAGAAAACGATCATCAGCGATGTTTTTCTGAGTTTCCAGAATCCCTTCCCATCAATTTAACTATAAATAGTTTGAAAGGTGAGTTAAAAGTTAAATATAAATCAAAAATCTAGTTTAAAAAGGAGCCAGATTAGCAACATTTGGAAAAAACTAGATATTTTAATTCCCAAGTTATTATATTTGCAGCGTGTGAACGAACTGAAGGTTTTTATATTTATGTATTATCTATACTAAATAGTAACTCGTCTGACCTCTACATCTTTACCACTTCAAGGAAAAAGAGAGTTAACAAAAATGTGCGCATAGTGAAGCTATATTTACGTCCAGAAGCAAAACAAGGAGCCATCTCAGCATTTGCTCAATGTATTATCATTGAAACTGGAAGAACACCTGATCGACATCGAGTACATTATTTATTACAAGCGTGTTAAGTCTTTTTAAAACCGTTATACTACATAAATATAAAGTAATTCATTACATATCACTATTTTGTTCAAAATAATATTACTTTTCTTATTGATGATCAGTACGGTCTCTAATTGCATCGAAACACTTATACAACAGAAAACATTTTACTTTTATCTTAAATAATACGTTACTGTCATCAAAATTTTCTAATTTCACGGGCATGAATCTTACGTATATAAAGGATAAAAATCGCACAAACAAGGTAAAACAAATTCTAAAAATCTCGGAATTCCACTTAATCGAAAGGAATTTTTTTCTCTACTAAATTAGTTTTCTTTTACGACCTCTTTTGTAGAGACCACAAGAGTCCACCATCTTCGTAGCAAAGGTTTCTTTGTTCGTGAGCGTTTATAGGACAGTAAAGAAAAACAATCTTTTCTCCTTTCTCTGGAATTTTATTCTTTAAAATTTCTCTCTCAGTCTGTCATCAAGAGAGTGAACTGCAATATGAATGGCAAGCTTATGACTTCTCCCAGTCGAGTGAGACATTTTTTCATTTCGCATCCAGATCCTCAGAGAATCGTTATTTCGTGGAAACTTTTTCATAAGTATCTATGGTGGTATAAAATGCTCTTAAATTGAGATACAAATGATGGAAAGTTTTTTAAGGATGTAAAGAAGAAAAATTGTTGTTTACCGGACAAAATTTGCGAAAAAAAATATTTTCACTGCTGTGACTGCGTATTAAAAGGTATTGTTGTGCCTATATTTCGCCATGAGATTTCGTTGCGCTAATATTCCTATTCTGTATAAAATTATATTCAGTAATGAACTTCAATAACAAATATAAATGAAAGTTCTATAGTATTTTTTTAAAAAGTTTTTTTCTCTTTAATTTTCACTTTCTCGCTACGGAGTAGAGAGAAAGTTATGTAATGCTGCACGGAAAAACGCCTAATGTTCGGCAGAAAAACACTTATTACATGCCCCTGGTTACCAAAAAAACGCATAAATCCAGTTGCTAACTTTATAAAAAAAATATACCACGTGGTGTAGCCAGAATTCATGCTTTGTGAGTCCTTGATACCGAAAACGTGAATGAGAGCGAAACGTGTGTCCGTCCGTCCGTACATCTGCGTTCGTAGGCTTTCGCGGCGGGAGTCAATGCATTCTTGGCTATCCGGGATGAGCAGCGTCTTGGTCACTTGTACTGACGTTTCGGCCATCTTGTTGTGGCCTTCTTCAGAGCTATACTTTTGGGCTATACTACTGCTGAGCAGTATAGCTCCGGAGAAGGCCTTAACAAGATTGCTGAAATGACAGTACAAGTGACCGAGACGCGGCTCATCCCGGATAGCCAAGAATGCATTGGCTCCCGCCGCAAAAGCCTACGAACGCAGATGTACGGACGGACGGATAGCCAAGAATGCACGTGTGCACATGTCTGTCTGTGAACATCGCTAGTGGCTAAACGGTGCAACCGATTTCCTCCAAAATTAAT